TATTTCTTGACAAGATGGGAATAATTTACTGAGTATCCTTGGTGTTGATGAACACCAGATCACATTATTTATAGACGATGCGCTCTGTTACCTAAAACCAACAAATGAGATGGGGACATCAGAAGCTTTGGCTTATATCATTCCTTCTTGGCATTAGTGCTCAATCACCAGAAAAAGGAGATTCGTCGGCGCTGCCGAAATCGAAACGGAAGATACCAAAATTGAAAGTACTCTGGCAGAAATGGAATTGGAGAATCGAGTGACGGAAGGAGTACTGCTGATTCGAAAGACCGGAATTGAAGCGGCTCATGCACCCAATAGTCGATAACCTATGCATACAAGTCTCATGACTAAGCATCATTTTTAAAGGGAACCTCTTGTGGCCCAAACCCTGGCGCATTCAGGTGCTCTGGTACCGTGCCGAGTCCACAACCTGGTCCACGAAGTAGAACTAGTGCAAATATGTCACGCTAGACTAGATCCAAACGGTGGATCTGAGGTTTTCCCAAAGTCCAATGGCCATCAGGTCGGACCGATAGTCTGCCCGGCCTGTCTCTTTAGATCCATTCACCACATTACTTACCCATAGGGTTGGGTTACATAGCCCTCTTTACGAGGGTTGTTGCCACAAGACGCCTGGACCATCGTAATAATTCCGTGTTACAGACACGGTCCAACTTGCGGATCCTCCAGACACGACATAAGCCATTCCTTTGGAAGACATCCAGCTACAGATATCCCATCCAAAAAAGGTGGGTAGGGAGAAACACTGACCAGAACACTTTGCACATGATGCGACCAGAAAAACGCCAACACTCCTCACAGCACTTTCCAACAAGCCAAAAGACTTCCCAGTCCTTTGCATCATTGTTTGGATTTCCTGTATGTGAGGCATCAGACGCAATCCAGTGGCCCTCTTAGGTGAAGCCTATGACTTGTTCCACTTCTTCCCCATCGACCGAGTCAACCGGATGCTGCTGTGGCTGGCGCTCCTTTGCAAAGACCTTTGTTTTAGATACAACAGCAAAAGCAAAAGCAAGAAACTCTATCTTTGGTGAGAAATGCATACATACTCTTCCTTTCTCCCATCTACATTATAGGAAGAAACTCAGTGGTCTTTCCAGACGAGTGCGATTTTTCCCCAGTTCTTCCAAGCAATATATATTATAAGGGAGCGAAAGCCGTAACAGAAGGGAAAAGAAAGAAGGACGAGGACGTGACTTGCACAGGATATTTATCTGAAAGGAAAAAAAGAGGCGGAGGAGAGATCCCTGCAAGGCCATGGTGCAATTAGGTCCATATACAAAGCCGGGGGGCTGGGCTGAAAATGCATGAGGATGAGCCATGGAGTCCTTAATGGAATTACGAAGCAGAGAGAGTAGGCCTGCTGTCTCTCTCTCTCTCTCCCTCGTCCAAAACACAGAGACCGTCCCCCATTAATCCTCATCCGGAGATCATCTAATCAGCTAATCCACGCTGCAGAGATTCTCAATCAATGTCTGCCTCCCCATAAAAATCCTTCGCAGAGTCTTAGGAAAGAAAGACGAAGTGGTGATGGAGTTGAATTGCTACATAACGAGAGATCCCCTGGTCACTTGCCCCATTGAGCCCCCTTGCGTTTTTCCACCTCATTTCCTTTCCTCTTCAGGCTGATGAAAATGAGGGAAAAGGGGGGGAAAAAAAGGGGGCGGGGGGGGGGGGGGGGGGAGGGGGGGGGGAGGGGGGGGAGACCGACGGCAGTCGACTCTCGTTATGACGAAGGCGATGAAGCCGTCGGAATTACATCGCTATATCGGGTTTTCGNTTAAGGCCTCCCCCCCCCCCCCCCCTTCTTTTTCTTTTCATTCCCTTTTTTCTCTGCTCGAATACGTCCTTTCTGGTGATTTCATTTCCTTTTCCCTCTGCCAAGACCAATTTGAGGAGGATCCTCGGTGATTGGGGGGTAACAGGATGAGGGACATTAATTAATGGAGGCATTGGTGATGGTCAGTCTCACAATGCCTCTTTGAACCTTGGCCTGAAATCCTCTTTACAATCCTCTTTTCCCTTCACATCACAATATCCAATCTCTATTACTTCCTTCGTCGTCTCGCCATCAATTTCGGATTTTTTCTCACGGAAAACTTTGGGAAATCCGTCTTTCTCCCTCGAGTGGCTCCATCTCTTCGAACTCCATTCCAGCGGATGAGTTCTTCTTCAATATAGACCGGCTCGTGAAGTGTTTTTTGTTTACCGTTCTCTGTTGCCGTCTATGATGGAATGAAATTCGCAAGGTTTTGGGAGAGGAAATGAAAGGCAGATCCAAGGACGGAGGGGTTAAGGCTGCATTTAGCACTGGAATAGGAGGAGGAATTTATTGGGAATACATGGTTGCCCACATGAAGGCTTCAAGTCGATCGCTCGTTCAGCCCCTCCTCATCCACGATAAGTCCATAGAGGATGGACAATGTTTTTGGTGAGAGCGTCTCCATCCACTGTTTTTTTACTTCCAGCTGCAGTGCTTCTCTGTTTGCTTCGTCCGTGAAGCATGTAACCTCTTCTTATAGCTATCAACGGAAAGGGCAAGGACTACATCTTCGAATAACTATTCCATTCATTCACTCCTCAACGAATGAAAATGACATTCCCAACTTGAATCTTACGAAAGGCTTTTATAACTTGAACGAAATCCCTGTCTCTATGTTGCTACCATCAAGTTGGGTGAACTCGATACGCCACTCGTTATCTAAGCTTTGGAAAGTGAAATCGAAGGAAGACCAGAAGAATTCTGCGGAAATCTCCTTCCCCGATCAACCTCCCCAGTATATGAAAAAAGGATCAAGAGCCATAGGAAAGGGCATGTGACCAAAGAAAGAGGGATTTTGATGGAACATGACAGATGGCTTCCATGGGGAATGCCTTCATCTGTTTCCTTCATCGTCCTCCTTTCTGCCTCCCGCAGTAATTGCTCCCTCATGAAAGGAAAGTGAATGAAAATGAAAACTATGTTTCTCGCCGTGAGTGAGTGAGAAAGAGAGACAGAGTGAGGGACGGATCTGAAGCACATGGACAGTATATATGACGTGAGTTATGAGACATATCTGATGGAATGGAGGAAAGAGAAAAAGACGATGGTATGTTTGAAAAATGCCCTCTATATTGCGTGAAGTCGATCTATGGCTCCTGATTGCTTCATCTCTCTCGCTCGATTCCACGCCGGACCCTTATTACCTTCCCCATTCCTTTCTTCTTTCCACCCGCTCCATTCCTATTCTTATTTCCTTAGCCTTTGTTCACGAGGTCTTGGGATTCGCACTGCGTCGAAGCACGAGATTTTGACATCATCCCTTATTCCATCCCATCGTCCCCAGCCGGGTATTTTTTTGCCGAAAATCTAACTGCGTGCTTCAGGCTTCGACCGAGACCGGAAAAGCCATCATTTCATCGTTGGGAGTCAATAATCAGAGTGTAATCATCGTGTAAGGGGGCCAGTATCTCAGAAAAATGTACCTATTTTTATCTTTAACTTTTTTATGCCAAAAATATCATGTAAGTAACATAATTATTCTCACGTGTTTCTCCTCGATGGCAGATTTATGCCAGAGACGCCATTCCTCGAAATACGCAGAAGAGGAAATTTGACCGCGAGGCAAGATTAATCAAGATGGCATGTGAATACTCTCGTGCAGAACTGGCTCGAAGGGCTATTTCACGCACTGTTTTTAATATTCTCCAGCAAACATCATGGTGAAGGTCACAGAAGTAAAGGTTCCCAATGAGTATCATTGCCTCCAGAATCGATGTCCCACAATGAGGCCATGAATAAATCAGAACCGGGAGTGGGAGGAACATGGCGATCGTGTTCGTCGTCGTTGGGCTTAAAGGTCAAGTATAATATCTACATCAAGATCTAGTCCTTTGGCCAATTTATGCCACTTTATCAATTTCGATCCCATAGAAGGTGTGGGTCAAGAAGAAATAGATCCAGAGATGATTCTGACCAGCTCATAAGTCATTGTCATCACGTGATGAATGTTCATTTAGTACAGACTCATGCTCATTTAGTACAGACTGATGTGTACTTTCCCATCGTCCCACGCTTTCGCATGAGGAAAAATTATATCATTTCACAATATGGGAATAGCGTTTGGCATATACCGTGAAACCGTGTGTCACCGTGTGTCACCCAATGCAGGGGGGAGGAAGAATATTCTCTCTATTGAGTTCACTCAGTGAGTCAGTAGGTCTAGGATTTTTATGCAAATATGTTCCCCCCTGAAGTCGTATTTTTCTCTCATTCATGGAAAATGGAAATTTGGAGGGGTGGTTCAATATGCAAAATTTAATAGTGCATACTTTTACATATATTGACCTCGCTTCTTCGCAAAAATGCATGTTTTGAGTCACACGCGAGTCAATTGAATATTTCACTCTTACGCGTGCGATAAACAAAATAAATGTTCTCCGAAAGAGGAAGATTCGAAAGTGGGTAACCCCAATCACAGGTGCGTCCCATCTCTACCTCTCCCCCTCCTCCTCTACCTCCCCTCTTCTCCCCTTCCCTCCCTTCCCTTTCCCTCTTCTCCCCTCCTCTCCCCTCCTCTCCCCTCCCCTTCCCTCCTCCCCTCTCCCCCGCCCCTTCCTTCCCGAAATCGTAGGAAGAGGGGGAGTGGAGAAGTAGTGGATTGGGAGATGGCACGCATTCCTGTCTAAAGACTCCCGACACCTTCATCCTGCTCTAAAAGCTTGAGCTTCACCACAAGTTCTGTGTTGCTCGTTTCCACCATAAATTTAGGCCGAAATACATTTTTAATACCACCCTTTGACTCCTTGCACACACATCTCATTACCATCTTGTTTTTCGATGTGTACATTTCGTACACATTTTCAGAAATTGATGACGCATGTTTTCCCATTCTGTGATGCATATTTCCAGTATTTCCATGCATCAAAGTCATCACCCTTGGATGAGCCTCGAATTTTTTTCATCGTTTTGCTTTTCTTTATTGCACGGATTCCAGAGTCCCCAGCCGCCGGAGTACGTGTTTTGGTACCACAACGGGAGAATGCTGAACTACGACGCAGTTCGTGGAGGGATCATGGTGACCGTGGAACGAGGGAAAAAAACCCACTCGCGACTCACCGTCGATAATGCCCAGGTCCACACCATTACTTTTCCTTCCACTAAGCTTCCGTCTTCCTTCCCTTCCGGAGCTTTCAAGGGAAATGTGTGTAATCGTGTTCCCAGGTGGGGGATTCCGGCGTGTACACCTGTTCTGCAGAATCTACCAAGCCCGCCTCCATCTCTGTCTTCATCACTGAAGGTATTTTTCGCACTCCATTCTCTAGTTCCTAACGGGCATATAATAATGATGCCAATGAATTTTTTAAAAAGTAAATAAGATGAGAAAAAGATGGGAAAGAGAGATGAGTCTGTGACATTTATGAACATGTCGTTTATCGCTCTCATTTTGATGTAAATTCTTCCGATTGCTTTATAACATTAATTTGTTGCTTTATAAACAATTTGGTAAAGTTTGCGATTGATTCAAGCATTGCGTGAGGGATTTCTAGCGTATATTATGTTGAAGCTTTCTCGGAGCTGGCGACATATCAGCCGGGATGGTATCCAAGGCACGTCATGCCACTTCATTCCCAACTTTCGTTTCCCAACGTCAAAACGGTGGAGAACGGGAGATGACTTCATGGTTTCATTGCATCAAAGAATACTAATTTTTACGCTCGATAGAGAAAAGCTCTTAAAAGAGACGTTTCACTGAGTCCTTCTGCAAGCAGTCATTTCATCTGAATGCGTTACAGCATTCGATCGACCATCGTCCGAAATAAGTTTGATGGAATTTTAGATAATGGAAAAAAGGGATAGGAGAGTAAATTGTATTGATAATAAAAAGGAAGTGGAAATTAAGAGGTGAGAAACATGGAAGGCGGGGCGCGACTACCCCGTCTCCAAGCTCTCAATCATTCATCGTGTGGCTTTTTGCCTCCATCCCATTATGAGGCTATGCATTATACAAGAGCTCTGGCAACGAGGGGGAAATACCCAACGAATGTATCCATAAGCACTGGATAATGCATGAAGACGATAATGAAAAAAAGGGGGGTTCATGTGCGCAATTAGGGGTTGAAGGTACCAGAAAGAGCATGCGCCTCTAGTCTTTATATTCCAATCGATGCAGATGGGAGGAAGGTCTTCCAAGGGAGAGGGAGAATACAACACAAGAAAAAGGAAGTTTCATGTGCGTGATCTCATTTTCTTTTAGCTTTTTCTTGTATTGGCCTTTCTTTCCGGAATGAGTCCGAAAGGCATTTATTCATTTGTATTTTCTTTTTTTTTCTCCCTTTCTTCATTCTCTCATTTCCCTTCGGATCCTTTTCACATCCGGATTAGGGAGGGAGAACGGGGGGGGGGGGGGGGGGGGAGAGGAAAGGGGGGAGCACGCGCCTCGCGAAATTCCTTCCGTCCGTGTCTGCTGACACCTGTTTCGGGGAAAATTTAGGAAAAGCAAGGAATGAAACGGAAGTGCTGGGAATTAATGTATATCATACGAAGTCAATCGTAATAATAATTTCTATCTTCTTCCGCCCCTCCGACTTTCGATGGGAACTGGAATTAGAGGAGCAAAACTTTCCCTCTTGTTTCTGTCTCTAAACTCAAAAGATGAAAGGAAGATCCAGACGATAACAGGTTTTTATGGCATGTTCCGTCGACTTGAGAAATTCCCTCACGATTTGGTCGTCTTCGAAGGCATCACGTCTCAATTCTTGCTCCACCCAAATAATAGGAAACCATAAATCGTATGTTTCTCATAAATCAGGGGTGAGCATCGTCCTGAAATCCAGGAAAAGCATCATAACCACAGGGGAAAAGGGAGGAAAATTGGGGGGAAAATTAGGAGGAAAATTTGGGGGGGAAAGTTGGAGTGTTTCTACTGTGTACCATGTAAATTCTGATTGGGGTCTTTGCCAAAAAAAAAAGATGGGATGCATCGGGACGCAATTAGTCGGCATTTTGATCAGGGATGAGAGGCAAGGGGTCAAGTCAACAGGTGGAATGTTGCAAGGCTTTTTTTTTTCTTCTAAGGACGATGACGGAGCAGAGGAGAGAAAATTCGCATGGCGAAACTCTCTTCCCAGTCATCCCCTTCTCATCCTTTCTTCCCCTTCTCATCCTTTCTTCCCCTTTTCATCCTTTCTTCCCTTTTTCGTTCTTTCTTCCTTTGTACCGTTTCTTGCCGAACCTCGTTGTTCGGGGGTTCCTTGTGTGCGATTCCCGAGACTCAATAGGTTTTTCTCGGCGAACTAATTGGAACATGGCCGCAACAAGCACGGGAAATAACAGGATGAATTTTTCCAAGGTGAAATTTTCAGGGTGAATTTTAGCATTACTGCTTGCTTTGAGAGAGTTTGGCCCGAATTCCGCGTTTTGGCTTTACCAGATTCCTTAATAATTGTTTGCTTAAGACGCAAGTGCTCCCCAGATGTCTCTGGATGCAGAGGTGGGCTGGTCGTTGCTAGACATTCTCTCAGCATGCTCAGCATGACATGCTCAGCATGCCGACTTCTCGGACCAACAATACCAACAATATGATCTCAAGCGAATCTGAACTGCTTCTGCACTTCTGCCTTTTTTTTCGGCCAACTCGAGAACTTAGAAAAGGGTTGTTTCGCGAAAGTACGAAGTCGAAATTGAGACACACTTCAACATTTTACAAATTTTCATAAATTTCCCCGGCGAAATCAAAATCCGCTCGGAAACGCAGAAGAAACGCAGCTTCCAGGTGATTATTTCCGGAATTATTCATGGGCTCTTCCCCGCTCCTCAGTTTGCTCTCCGGTTCAACCCTGACAGACGAACAATCGATTCTTCCTGCCATGACTCGGGGAAAGTACTTTTCCATGTTGACTTTCTTACTCACGGTCGACGATCGGGGTCGACAACTGGGGGCGTTACGGAGGCGAAGTGGGTGGAAAGCAGAATTTGATGGTCAGATTTTCATCGTGACAGATTTCGTGACGTCATTTGTGTTTAATAAAATATAGAAAATGACAGTAGGAAAAAAGTTAATTTAATTTCTGTCTTGATTTCTCGAAATGTTATATTATGCAGCGTGTATTTATTGGAGCGAAAAGTCCGGTTTTTAATAAATATAGGCATACGAAAGCAGGCGGACCTCGCAATGAATTCGGAGAAACGATCCTAAGTGTTGCGGCCGATATTTAAATATATATTATATTTATAAATAACAAGCGCGGGAAAATGCCGGGGATTCAGAAGAATGTGAATTTCTTTAGAAAATTTTAACATGGACTTCTATGGAGGAAAAAAAAAAAGCAGGCTTCTCGCAATAATTGTTTGCGGTCGACCCCCATTACATCTTGAATGGACTTTCATAACGTAATTCTTTTTCTTTCAAGCAGGATGTTATCAGGAATTGCTTCTGCAGTAAATAAATGAGGAAAAAAAAAGTCGAAATGAGGAGTGAAAAAGAGCGGGTTAAGGCCGGGCCAGCCACCCGCAGCCTCGACTTCCCATTGTTTTTTTTTATTAGTTTCAACTTCGGTACAGTTACTTTCCCACGCTCGAATCCGTCGTTGCAGAGCGCCAGGTGGTAGGCAGCGGGCGTCCCCGATGACGGGTGCGTGGGCCGCCGGGCGAGGGCCGCCGGGTGGGGGGCCCGCTGGATGGGATCGACCACCGACGCTATCGCATTTATTATTGCGAGGCGTCTGATCTCATAAATCGAACTGGGATGATTGCAAAGAATACCGCTTGATATATGGGGAAAGTACGTGAGAACGCGTGTTTATTCCGCGTGTGGCAATCGTCTCCTCGGTCTGACGCGAATCGCGTCTGGCAGCAAGTCCAAGTTGGTCCAAATTGGTCCAAGTTCAGAGTGTCCCTATGGCTCGAAATGCATCTTTTGTCGAGTTGATTTCCTCTACGGAATAGTTTGCAATCGTGCGCTCCGAGGAGGAAATCGGACGGAATGTCGGAATTTGTGTCAAGATTTTAGGAAAGAGGAAACGAGGAATGAATCATCGCACGTCTGAGTTTCTGCGCATCGTCGAAAATTGCCGTCCGAGATTTTCCTCGTCTCTCCATGGCGTGAGAAAATTAGCCCAGGCTTCTTTCGAGAGGTTCTTTCTCTCGTCTCACGCCCGAAAGATTTCTCGCATCCAACTTCGCTCGGTTCTCGCGAAGAAAGAATGGAATCTTGCATCACGTAAGACGGCGCCCGATAGTCGTGACGTGACATGACGTGACATGACTGATTCGAATATTTAGAAGCCTACAATCTCTTAAGCGAATATGTGCGCGTATGTATATATAGGTGTGTGTGTAGAAGGGGGGAGGGGGGGAGGGGAGAGAAGGGGGTGAAAGATGTGAGACAGGTCACGCCAGTGCGTGGCTGGGAAGGGGAATCGATGATGTAAAGGCCATGTACAAAGAGGACTTCATCATTTGTCACGTAGTGAAAGTGAGCTCGTCCTGTTCCCTCTTCCCCTCGGGATGAATACAATTAACGTGGATCGAGATGGTGATGTGCCAAGGTCCTCGGAAGCCTGACTTGACCTTCCTCGTCTGCCATGTTTTGCACGTTTTGAGATTTTGCATTTAGGAACATTTCGCTTCACGTTCGTCCTCGAGTTCTCCTCGTTTCTGCTGCGATCGAGAGGAAAAGCAGTCTAGACTGTTTAAATATCATTTTACTTTTGCAGTCTTCATTCGAACTTTTTTACCTTTTTTTTTAAATTAAGTTTTCGAGGTATGTCGCACATCCCGAGAATGTCGAGATGGCCGGGAGTATTGCGACAATAAAAGAAAGACAAATCACCAGGAAGATAATTAAAGGTCCCGATAGCTGACTGCTCCTCGAGATTGCCGGGGAATGCCTCATGAAATTACATGGGGGCAAGGGGGAGGGGGGGGGGGGGGGGCAGCGCCGGGGTGGACACATTGTGTGAGACAAACCGTAGCAGGAAAAGGAACTCGAAGTGGTCGGGCGAGTCCTGGCCTGGCATTGCGTGATGTCTTATGAGAAAGAGAAGGAGAAGTTCAATGTTCAACCTTGTGACGTCATCAGCCGTGATCGCGGGGACCGGCATGCCTTTCACTTCCACGCCGAGTGCGATGACGCAAATGCCATCACTCATGCTGCTCCTGCTTGCTGCTCCTGCTGCTGGTGGTAGGCAGAGCCGAAGACACGCGCTCCTTCGGCGCTGGCTCCCTTCAGCATTTGCGCTCCTTCGGCGCTCGATCCATGAAGCGTTTCACTCTCTTGAATGTTTCCTCCTTCGGAAATTACCTTGCCTGTATCTCGCCCGCTTCTCGTT